ATAACTCCTTCATACAGACTCCGTTTTCGTCTGTATTTTTACCGTTGAGTTCCTATTAATGAGATCTTCAACTCTCATTTAGGTCACGTAAGCCAAAAACCGCTTGAACTAAAATTCGAGTTTCAGGCCGTGCACTGCTAAGCCGAATCTTAGAAAAATCATAACTTCTTCATACGAAGTCAGATTTGGGCGTTCTTGTTATAGATGTTCTTAGTTTAACATATTCTACGACTTTTGTTTAGATTGCTAAGGCTAAAAAGTTTTCTATCGTAAATTCACTATTTACGTCTCCCGGTGCCGTGCCGGTTTTGCCGTAAAACTTCGGCGGGCCATAACTTCTTCGTTATAGTTCGGATTTCGGTATTCTTTATATGTACAGAAACCTTGAGACATATTCTACAACTTTATGTAGAGATATCGGGATTATCTCACACTTTAATTTTGACGCTCATTTTTATTCTTTATTAATTATACATTTATAATTAAATAATAAACACATAAACACACATAATTCACATAATACTCAAATATTTCATATTTATTACTTCAAAAAGAGTTACAATAGTTGACCTAAACTATTACATTGACAAAAATGCTTAGCCCTGAAAACCCAGGCGTTACATGGAACGAATTGAAGTCACTCCTCCTTCGACAGTCTCAACCGATTCACACAAGTACACTCTACTAACAATGGTTAGCCTTAAGTCAAACCGGGTTGATCCATGAATACCAATGTTCATTGATCGAACTACTTTCCCCGCTTAGAAACATTCCAAATGACATGATAATAGGCCAATTTGTTAATGGACTCAAGGAATATATTAGGTCGGATGTCCATTTGTTTGAACCCGATCCATTGATCATGCGATGTCAATAGCCATCAAGGTCGAAGGAAAACTTCGTCATCACACCTATCGGAAACCAAATCTTCCCCCTGCTTTTGCCCAGAAAACGACGCTCCTCATCACACCCATCAAAACCACCTTCTACTAATCAAAAGGCCTTGGTAGTCCATCCCAGAACCGACCGACTGAAATTCGAAGACTCACAGATCAGGAACTTAAAAAAACAAGTGAAAAGAGAATTTGTTATCGTCCTCACACCCATCGGAAACCAAATCTCCTCCCTGCTTCTGCCTAGAAAACGACGCCCTTCATCACACCTATAAAAACCACCTTATACTCATCACAAGGCCTTAGTAGTCCATCCCAGAACCGACCCACTGAAATTCGAAGACTCATAGACCAGGAACTTCAAAAAAACAATGGAAAAGAGAATTTGTTATCGTTCTGATGAAAATGGAACCCAGGTCACCGCTGCAAGAAGGAATTGAGTGTGTTAATAATCCATGAAGATGAGACTCAAGAAGATAAATCCCAACCTGGAAGATGAACCAGGGTTAGAGACTCCATAAAACACTATCCTTTCAGGGATCTGTTTGCATTTGATAATTGGGACAACCAATCTAAAAACTCTCAAACTGAAAGGGGACATGGCAGGAGCTGAAGTAATGGTACTCATTGACCCAGGCGCCACCCACGACTTCTTATCCCTCTCCGCTATTAACATCTCAACATCCTAATTTCACCCACTGCTAGGTTTGGAGTGCCACTGTGTACGGGGGAAAATACCACCGGTAGTGGAAAATGCAAAGGGGTGTTGTGACATGTCCAAGGGGAAATGTCACCGGTAGTGAACAAGCATTAGCTTCCATCTTGGTGCTTGAACATGACATAGCAAAAGCTTTGTCACTACTCTGTTTATCTAATGCTTGACATCCGTACCTCCATTTCTGTCAAACCGGAGAGGTGACTTTCACCGCCAACTTAACTCTTTACCTAGAACTTGTTTTCCCAACACATACAACTTTCAATCCACTTTTGATATCACCGATATCCTCTTCTTCTTTTTTCTCTTTACACATGCAACGAAAGACAATAGAGAATATTGGCCATACCACCATCGTTCCTCTCTAATCAATCGATGGCTTATGTTTTACATTCGACACTTCATAGTATAATACCGCTATCCCTCGTTCATCTTCCTGAAGCCCAAATTGATTTGTGCTATAGCAGTGGTTCACCTGACGGTAGTGTTTCTCTACCATATCATGGTTCGTGGTAATGAACCTAACCCACCTCCAATAGATGAAGCAACCCAAAAAATTCCCACCACATTGTGGTTAGCGGTGGTACATCTTCCCTCTTGACCTACTCTTCATTCAACACCATCATTCGATTATGTGAACCTAGGAATTGAAGAAGACTGAAGAAACTATGGATCAATCAGTACAAATCAATTTAAAGGTTAAGGGTCTGAAATTTCATTTGAGGTTTGTGCTCTCTCTCTTTTTCATGCAATTGACATTAGAAAATTTGTTTTGTTTGATAATCACCGTCTTCATCTATGTCAGGAAGTTCATGGATATTTGATTAGTCAGCCATTTGCAACTTTGGGAGAAGGAAAAAGAGCGACATAGTTGAATTTTGATTCTCATCCATGGTGTGGTGGGACATTAATTTCCAGCTTTCTCTCTTCTCTTGTCTTTTTCATAATTACTCATTTATTGTATTTTCTTTTTCTTTCCAATTCAACTGGCATGCACATCAGATGTTAGCCTGACATAGAATTGCACTTTGGCAGCTGAAGTCTTGGTAATTAGTCTTCTCAGTTTACACTATTTCTCTGTTTTTCTTAAAATTTGTTCTTTTTAGTAATCTGTCTTCCATGCTTTGTTTGTGACAAAAAAAAATTCTCGAGCAGTAAAGAAAGAAGTCAAATGGGTAACGGTATTCTTCCAGTGAGAGACTCTCTACTTCTTTCTATTTTATGGGTTTTTTTCCAAAAGATGTATCAATAAAACTGTTGTGTGATGTATACTTCCCTTCCTTCTCCTTGGGCTTCCTGAAGTTCCTCTTAATTAAGAGTTGGCGACTATTTGTTATACTTATAAAAGTCAACCTCATTTGATTTGCCTTTGATTCTTATTATTATACCTTGGTTTTCTGTAACAAGGGTTGGAGCCTAAAAAACCCATTATTGGGGTAAAGTAGCCAATTCATGCCTTTACAGACACATGTCGCGACTAAAAGATGAACTCGGATATTCACTTGGCATTGGTACGCTTATTTCAGATGATCACTCTTTACCTTATTAGAGATCATCGATAACTTAAAGGGTGTGTCCGTCTCAGTGGATAGAGGCTCCTTCTTCTTCTTCTTCTTTTTTTTTTATTTTTTTTTATTTTTTTTTTTTATCTTCTTTCTAGAAAATTTAGAATTCAATATCTAGATTAAAAATTGTGTTGTTATTTGTTTCTGTTTCATACCTAGGAAATTGGATGCAGACATTGGTTTCATTTAATGATGGTTTGAAAGCAATTAACCACCGGATGAAAGCATCTTTGACATAAGGGTGCTGCTAATAAGACACCCCTTAGACACTCTATAATCATTTTTATAAAAAGTCAGCCTATAATCAACTTCTTATAATCATTTTTTTCGGAAAACAATGCAATTTCAACCAATAAAAATATTTCAAACATTAATTAGGGTGTCTAAATGGTAAAATAAAGTGTCTTTTTAGCCAACCCATTGACATAAATTTAGCTTCTACTCGAATTCCGTTTTGCCTTTTTTTTTTATAGGCTGAAATTCCATTTTGTATAAATTTGAATATGTTCGGTTTTACTATAGTTGTTGTATAAGGAATCACCGTGGGGACCTAACTTCTTGATAAACTTGCTGCTGCCTTACTCTTTGAGAGCATGACTCCTCCAACTTGAGCACTATTCATAAAATCGTACCCATTTATAAGCAAATCTATACATTTTTGTTCTGTTTAAAGCTCCTAACACCTTACATAGATTTTTAACATCAGTTTTGGTACCTTTCAAATTCTATATTTGGCATATCTTTTTAGACTCTACAATAAAAATGTTATTGTTCTCGCACTTTTCCTGAAAGCAAAACAATCTTATCACTTATCAGATTTTCATTTAGATTTATTACTGCAAATTTAGAGTAAACAGTATAGGGTAATTCACAAAAATTGATCATGATTTCAATTTTGAGATTATTTAGGAAAAAAATAATGAGTAAATACCTTGTATGTGACTTTAAGCACCTATTGATTATTTGATTTGAATTCTTCAATTTGTAGTAACCACTTTGAAAACGCCGATCAAGACACTCCTTTAGAACTTTAAAAGATCCCCTTTGAGACTCGAAAATAACACTAGTACTCAACTGCCACACCTTTGGAGCAGTCTTTACTATTTTTATTTCAGCTTAATTCGTTTGGGGTATGGCCATATTCATAAAATGGTTAGGGAATTTATGTTATTTGCTAGGATGTCTATGCTAAGATCGAGGGCTACTAATGAATTACATGTTCAGGGGTAAATATGGAATTTCCTCAAGCTTACAACCCAAGGAAAGGAAGAGGAATTTAAGATACCAACTGAATGAAAAACATTACCTACTAAAGATAATATAATGCACAAGGAAGGCACCATTTTAAGAACATTGACAGGGGGTGATTTGAGTGATAATAGATCATATATTGAAAGAAATGATGTTGTTACTTTTGTTAATTGTCATGCAACAAAAATACGGTGGGTAAACTAATACGTATTTTTTTAGAAGCATTTGCTCAAGTTCAAAGTTTGATCAATACTTTTTCTAAAAATACTTATGTGTCACCTTTGATTTGAATGAAGACACCATATCAACGCGGGAGTTTGGGGAGGAAATTGGAATTCCACTATTCCAGCAATGCCCATGGTTATATGGAAAAAAAAGATTACACGGATATTTATCACGTAAAGGTGCTTTCATATATTTGTAGAATTTCCTTGAGAAACGTTCGTGGGTCGTGTCGATGAAAAAATATATATAGATGATAATTTTAGGGTTTCAATTTTCCAATTGACTTTCCAAAGCCCGATTTCTCGACATCAATACATCACTAATCAGCTTCGTGACCTTTGTCGTCCGTCGATGCTCGATTGCCTGTCCATCTTCACCGAATCACCGTCTCCGGTCGTCTTCCTCGTTTCCGTCTGCCGACTGCCGACTGCCGACCTGCTTTCCCGGTTAATTAAAACCCCATTTCCCTCTCTGAAGTTTCAATCGTCTCAATCTTTATCGATTTCTGGTACAACTGAGTAACTGAGACTACATTTTGCCTTTGTCGATTACATTCCACTGAGTTTGGGTTTGATTACATTTCCCGTTTGGTCCCGTTCACACCCCTAGGAGGGAACGACAAAGGGGTTTTGGGACCAGGGACTGGGGCCTGGGGGGTGTTTTGATTTTGAACCCTTTTGGGTTTTTGGCTTCCTCATTCTGGAAGCCTATTTGATTCAATTCTCTTTATACGATCGGATTCGAAATTATTTGAATATCAGGCGCACTTTCAGATTTCGGATTTAGTGTTTGATTTAAGATGAATGTTAACGATCTTCACAAGGTTTGGGAAATCAGAACGTTGAAGAGGAAGGTTGGAGGAGATGAGGCTAGGAGATTCCTTGAGAAAATCGCCAAACAGGTCCAACCCATCATGCACAAGCATAAATGGAGGGTTAAGGTTCTATCCGAGATGTGGTATCCTCTTCCTTCATCTTCTTCTTTACATTAGGATTTTAAATCCCTAAATTTGTGTATATATTTTATAAGTTGGTGATCTATTTGATGGCTCCACTCTAAAACAGTAGGATGATCATATAATTGCTGGGAATGATAAGAGATTGAATGAAACTTAAATTTGTGAGCAACTATAAGCTGGCTTAAGATTAGTTTAGTGATTGAAGATGTATGTTTTTTGTAGTCCTAAAAACCCACGACTTCTGGGTTTGAACGTGGGACATGGTCTTCATGTGAAGCTGAGACTTCGAAAGCCAAACACTGATTGGGATTTTTACCCTTTTGATCATGTTCTTGATACAATGCTACATGAGCTGTGTCATAATGCCATTGGCCCTCATAATGCCGGGTTCTACAAACTCTGGGACGAGCTTAGAAAGGTATTTACATCTCCACCATTTTACATGGTTATTTGTTGTGTGATGAATTCAAATCTTGTTTTTTTGTGGTGATGTTATATCATATATGTAGGAATGTGAGGAGCTGATGAGTAAGGGAATATCAGGTTCTGGAGATGGGTTTGATCTTCCAGGTAGACGCTTAGGTGGCTTCTCTCATCAACCTCCTCTCTCATCTCTCAGGCAGACCGCACTTGCTGCTGCAGAAAACAGAGCTCGCCAGGGACCATCAGGTCCTAAACTTGTTGGTGGTGATAAATCTATTATGTCTGCCCTAACACCTACACAAGCTGCTGCAATGGCTGCAGAAAGGAGATTGCAAGATGATATATGGTGTGGTCTAGAGGAAGTAATTGAGGAGGAAGAAAGTAGAGCACAGATGCAGCAGAATGTAACCTCTTCTTCTAGTGCCAAGACTCATCAGAAAAGAAGTCCTCATTCAGAATCATCCTTTGTTGATTTGACATCATCACCTAAAAGTAATAAACGAAGTCGCCATGAATATGATGATCTTGAGAAAACTTGTATTGATTTAACAAGCAGTGATATCCATGAGTCGTCCTCTGGGTGGGAGTGCATGATGTGCACATTGCTGAATCCGGTAAGAACTGTTTTAATTCCTTCTTGTTCAGTTTTTGTATTAATCTGTTATATTTATAAGACATGTTTGATTATGATTTATGATTTATGGTAGGTTTTGGCTCCAGTGTGTGAGCTCTGTGGAACCCACAAACCAAAATCTGTTGAAGACAAGTATAAGACATGGTCATGTAAATTTTGTACACTGGAAAACAATGTGACGCTGGAGAAATGTGGGGCATGTGGGCAGTGGAGATATTCTTATGGCCAACCAATAGCAACCCCGTCACCAAATGTGGGTACTTAAAACAAACAAACGTACAAAAATTTAGAATTGTTTTTCTAATGTTTTGACAAGCAATGGACTTGAAGGATATGATGTTTAACCTTTTTTGTTTGGAACATGTAAAGAGAACAGGCATCCATCTCTTGATGCTAATTTCATTTTGATATTTAGTATTTTATCTTTTGGGTTGTTGATGTTGACTGTTGACTGTTGTATTCTCGTATGTTTAAGCTCAGGTCTCAAATTAAATTGTGGCACACTTACAGACACTCTCATTCATGAATTCTTTGGTGTAATGTATGTCTGCCTGGTTCTTCATCTCATGACTCATGAGAATTAGATATGCCTCTAATAGATTAGAGTCTCAACCACTCATGTCCACCAATGAAGTTTGTATCAAGAAATGACATTGCTTCTACATGTGCCAATGACTTGGACCATGATACCTGATTCTTTCTGTCTGCACCTTTTCCTCTGCACTCGTATTCTCCAAACACATCCGTCCTAGGAACACAAATAATACATCCATCAACATTCAAATAAATCACTTTGTTTTATGTATATATAACAATGATAATGAAAGTATGGGATGGATGGATAACTTTGTCTCCATGGGTGGTTACAGTCGCTCCAGCTGAAAGGGTCTATGATGTCGATATCACAGTAGGAGCAAACTGCCCTTGTATAATTTCTCCATGCTCTCCCCAAGTAGATTTTCCATTATTTGCTTCCGGTTATTTACAATTCAGAAAAGAAAATCCAGTGTCCTCTTTTTCCGAGTTCCTGTGATTAGCTGCAATGACTCCATATTTACAGCAACATGATGCAGATTACATTCCTGCACACATCAATCAAACCCAAACTAAAACCCATTATCAGTTGATGAATATATATATATATATATATATATATATATATATATATATATATATATATATATATATATATATATATACACCCACCCAATAGAGCGATCTAGATTCGCCAATGATTAAATCGATGAATCCTTGTATGTAACATTGGTAAAAGTAGTGAGATCCATTGGAGTCCAATAGAGTGTCTTGGGTCCCCAATATCCTTACTCTATAAAGCACAACCTTGTCCCCTGCAAGCCTCAATGTCATTGCTTGATGTTTATACCCTCCAACTACTGCAACAAGCGTATTCTGCGTGCAGTGCATTGCATTGTAGATCAATATATACTACTGTGTATGTTAATCACCATGCATGTACATTGTACAATATTTGAATGTGATCCCCAAAGCACAAAAGTAATCAGATTGTACATCAACAGAAGCGGTTCTATACGTTCCGAGTTCAGAACCATCTTAGTATTTTTTAGACGCTTTGTCATTACAACTCAATATCGTTTACGAAGCCTTCTTTTCATCTCCAATCAAAGAGATATATGGCTTGGAAGGTGGAACAATCGGTTTTTCTCTGCATCATGCATCTCCATCACATCACATTCACTTGAGAGATCTATAAATTCACAACGAATGAATTAATTTCGCTTAATTTGCATATACGCATGTATAATACCTACATTGTAAGTACCAGGAAGAAGTAGATCTTGACCCTAATGGAAATGTTGAAATGGACCATATCAACACCGTCTTATTGTTGATATGTCTTAACTCTTAGTTCGCCTTCTAAAACTAGCAAATTGACCAAAAATCAACAAAGTCAAAAGTCAAAGTCAACAGTCAACAGTCAAAATCATTATTAGTTGACTTCCATGTTGTGGCCAGTCCATGCCCACGTTGTGGCTAACAAACACAGTCCCAATCCAACAGCTCAGTCGTGATTAATTCGATCCCACATCGTGGAACACATGCCCTCCACGTTGCGGCTAACTCCAGACAAATCAGTCGATGGCTACTAGCTGAGATCAACTTAATAGTTTGAGTCCTTAATCCATTAATCCTTAAACTCCAACTTTCCAAAAAGCTTTTAAGGATTCCAAAGGCTCATAGAAATACAAACTTTATGGACATGCATGTCCAATGCATCTTTCTCTCTCTCCCTCACACACACACACACATCTAGGTCAAAAATTGTATAAATAAGGTCAAAACCCCCCATGCATTAACCTAAGACTACACAACTTTTCAGATCTAGAACATCAAACCATCTAGGGACCTCAATGATCAATAAAGTTGCCAACTCAAAACATCATGAACATGAAGAAGAAGCATATAAACCTAGATCTAGAAGAGGCTAACCGACAAGATCAGAAAAAGGAAACTCACAAAAGTCCAGAAGTTGCTCAAATGAAATCTCTAAGCTTGCATAAAGGTTCTCTATACCACAAATATCTTCTTCTTCCTTCAAAATGCACCAAATCCCCAAAAGTAAGCTCAAATGGAGGAGTTTTAGGGTTTGCTTCAAGGTTCTTGAGGTGATGAGGCTTGAAATGATGCCCTAAATATGAGGTTAAAGGCTTAAATACGGGGAAACCCTAAAGTTATGGGCTTGGACCAAAACAATCGCCACGTCGTAACCCTTCTCTCGCCACGTCGCGGGACTCATTAGAAGGAAACAATTCTTTTAAGTCATGCCACGTCGTGAGCATCCTTGCACCACGTTATGGCATAAAGTTTTTCCCAAAAACTCTATTTTTGATCTTGTTAAGTCTTTAGTTAAACCATTCTGAGAAACGGGTATTATATTTTTGCTTCCTTTCAGTGTAAGTTTAAAATTTTTGTGGCCATGGAGGTTCGCCTGCAGTGACTCCAGGGCATGAGACAAAGCTTTATGTTTGCAGCGGGAGATTAGTCGGTGCGCGAAAGCTGGCCTGGAAACCCTCGTTAGGGAAGTTCCCTTTCCAAAAAAAAAAAAAATTATATTGCATTATTTTTTAGTATTTGTTATAATATATACTTAAATTTTGAATAAATAAATTGTTAGGTATGAATGTTGGATACGTTTTCTCTTTGTCGAGAGAGATTCATACAAAAATATGATTGAAGTATGATACTTAATATGCGAGCATGGACACCATTAAAATGATGAAATAGGAGGACATACTTAAGCTTATCAACATGATGTATGTTCGTTTTGCAAACATTAGCATTATTTTTTGTATAATATGAAATATATTTAACTATAACATTAAGGCATCGATGAACGTGGAAAGATAAGCACAACTCTACTACATATCGAACTTGTTGGATCGACTATATGATATTTTCTTAAACTTAATAAAAGGGATGAGAAACATATTAAGTTGGTGTGCTTTACGTGATGGATTTAAAACTATATATATATATATATATATATATATATATATATATATATATATATATATATATATATATATATATATATATATATATATATATACTATCTTATAAAAAAAATCTAACTATTTCTAAAAATAGATTGATTATAATAATAATATTTTTTTAAGACGTCCAAATGATGAAGCTGATAGTACAAGTAACCATTAATAAAATAATATTAAATTTTAAACACATTTTAAATTCAAAAATTTATCATCAAATCTCCTTATATTTCTCAACAATTTGATATGGTTCCCTTAAATCCTGGATTCATTCAAATTTTGAACCCTTTTAGATATCCTTAAATTTAGCATGTTGATTCAAAATATTCCTCCAATCGCATATACGTCTTTGTTCCCTCCTCTGCTATAAAGCCCACTGTCCAGGAACAAAAAATGACTTCATCTCCCAAATAACACCATAGTTTGATTATTTTATCTTCGACATGTACTTTCTTTTGTAACATAACATTTTTGTAGATCAAACATATCACCGAAAGAATTTACACGCCCCGCCGCTTTGCGTGGGTACACTGCTAGTATATATATATATATATATATATATATATATATATATATATATATATATATATATATATTAGTTTTTGGTGTGAGAGTTTATATAAATAGATTTTTGTATAAAAAAATGCTTGCATTTTTGCAAGGGACTGCAAAATAGTTATTTCGTGTCAAATTGCTCAATTGGTAGGCCAAAAGCGAAATTCATTGCATAGTTCATCCTTAATTGGTGTTCAAGGAAATGCTCAGTTGAAAATCACCTACTATCAATCTTAACATGCAATGCACTAATGGTTTAAATTAGTGTAGGATGTCCCATGAATTCATCTATTTCTATCATGCTTTCGATCCATTTTTCATCAGGTTATTTACTACCTTTTGGACTATTTTCATCACAAGGTTCATTTGAAATACGTAAAAAGACAAATGTTTTTTACAGAGGTATGAGCTAATAATATGGTATTTCTATGACATTTGGGATTTTCTATATTTTTTTTATATTGTTTACTAATTATAAGGGTACATTTGTACAATAAAGATGCATGATGATCCACTTAATGCTCCAAATGATGGTCCACCACAATGGGTACATATCATGAAATTGCAAATGGTTTTATGTTATTTATTTAATATTTCTTGATTTGGTGTTCTGTTATTGCAAACAACCTTTGTGACATTTAGAGGGGCTGCTAGAAAAGCTTGTGGCAGTTCAGTTTTAAGTGCAAATTTCATGGATGGGTTTAGGATATTAGAAAATGCAAATGTCATTATTTACAAAATTGTCCTTCATCGTTTTGGGCTTCACTTTTTATCCATCTTCATGGTACACCTTCAAAGTAAAGTATTTTCCAAAAGAGTGACATGCTTTATATGAACTTTACATTTTCTTAAAAAATCTTAAACATCATTTTTTTAACATAAACATTGCACAACCGATAAAGATTTGAATTATATGAAAGCCATGTATTCCGATCATTAGAGTTTGGTTTAACTCTTTCACCCCCTTTATTTTCCTCATGTGGATTCATAGGTTAAAGATTTTAAAAAGTTGAAAATAAATTAATAATTTCGTAGGTGTAGTTTGGTTGTTTTTAGGGGTGAGCATGAGTCAATTTGGACCTAAAACCGAACCCAAAACGACATACTTTGGTTTTAAAAAATTAAACCCAAACCCAAACCAATAGGTTCGATTTCTCGGTTTTGGGTTTTTTCCAATTTTTGTTCGTGTTCAATTGATTTTTATAACTGAAACCTTTAAATAACTAACAAGACCATAAACCTAGTGGATGATGGCTTAGTCAATGAACCAAACCAACTTTAGATGAAGTCTATGTGTGATCCTCTACTTATAAGAGGAGGACTTCATATTTTTTTTCGTTCCTTGGGCAATGTAGGATCAGCTCCCATCCTCAGGGCTCATATTGGCAAGAGTTTCATCACATCATTGATGTGGGATGAGATGTATTGTACGTCTAAATTCAAAGTGCGATGTGGGATAAACTCTTATCCTCAGGGGTTGATATTAGCGAGAATTTCATCACATCATTGATGTGGGATGAGAAGTATTGTACATCTAAAATACAAAGTAATGAAAATAAAATGTTGGAAACAAGATTCAAACATGGCACATCAAATTGTAAAGGTGGAGCATAGAACCAGCCGAGCTACAAGTTATTTATGATATTACTTTGTTAAATACACACACACATGCATACATACACACACATACACACACACATATATATATATATATATATAAATGATATTTTTATAAATTAGGTTATGATGAATCTAGTTCCTCGGGGGTTCTATTGATTAATAAGGTAATGCTCATTCATCTAAAGCCCTGTCGAACCTGAGAAAATAAAACAACGTCAGACGTTCACCGAGCACTGAACCCGGGAGAACGCTTCGATGCTTAAGTCAGATGCAAGATATGAGTGATCGTTATCGACTTATGAATGAGATGTTGTTGCCGATAGCATACCTGTTTGTAGTCGAGCTAGTCTGTCTTTATACTACCTTTGCATGGGAAAATGGAGATGAGGGCGATCCGGACAGGTCCCCGTCTCATCGCCATTAACTCATGCTTGTCATTCTCTAAAAACAACCAAACTACACCTAATAGATAGAGCAAATTAACTCAGATTATAGCTTAGATAACGAGAACAGGTCTGTCACGGACCAAATTAACTCAAGCCCACCCCTAAAAACCAAACTACACTTACCAAATTATTAATTTGCCTTTATATTTATAGTTCAGATTATTTTTAATAATTCGAATTTATTTCTTGTTTATCGACATTGGCCTCTAATAGATAGACTCGACTGTCAAATCAGGTATCAGATTCGATCGTTCCGCCCTCTACGTCTCATCAT